ATTTGATATAATTAGTGGGGGACCCCGATGGGAATGAAAGGTCCAAATAAGTATAATGAGAATGAAGAGATAGAGAATGAGATTGGGAAGGTTGAAGATTAGGTAAATGGAAAGGTGCAAGAAAGAGACATCATGTGAGTAGTTCCGGAAAGTGGCCTAGAAAACTCACACCTGGCCGCTAGGCCACCGGTTCCCTTTTTGACTTTTCGATGCCGTTTTTCTCAATGAAGGAATTTTTTTTGAATTTTTTCATTATTTTTATGGGGATCTACATGAAAATATGCACAAAATAAAACAATAAAATTTTTCACCGCACACCACCTTTAAATATTTTTTGAGCTGTCGATATCTTTCTGTCAATTTTCACATTTTTTTTGGCGTTTTTGGGTTGAGCAAGTGGAATTTCTATATTGAAATTCGAATTTTAAAAGTTCAGAATATTAAGAAATCGGGATATTCCGAAGTTTTGAAATTCGGACTGCTTGTTCCCACTCGACAATGAGGAATATTCCTAACTTTCTCATCGTTCTGAGTTTTTTCATTGTTTTTTCAAGGGCGTTCCTATTTTTGTTCTACACAATTTCTGCCTTGCTCTCTGTTACTCTCTATTTGAATATCAATTGTGCAAACGCTTATACAAGTCATCGTATCCATTGCTTCACTATTTTAGAGCTTCCAAGAACTCTCAAGTTTTCAAGAAGTCAATTTTTCAATGTTTTCTTCTTCTTTCTGCATAAGTTTGTAGAATAACATCATCTGATTAGTTCTATCAATTGAGACATTTTTTCGAAAAAAGAACCAAAAAACAATCACTTGAATCCCTGTGATCATTTCACACCATGCTGCTCTGACGTCTCTAGCACACTCCAGCTCTGGATGCACTCTCTCGTCTCATCTGTCTCGTTTCGCCGTCGTATGACACAGTCACATGATGTTGTGTCTTGTCGTCTCCGCCCCGCTCTCTCTTTTCGCAATCTCTCCCTTCTTCCTCAGCTAGTAAGACCTATGCCATTCGTCTTGGCGTGTTTAGTCGGGTCTCTCGCTCTCGTTCTCTCTTTTCATCTGCCACTTTTTTTTCAAATCGGCGGCAGTTCCTTGTTTTAAAGTAACTTACAGTCAGTGGGTTGATTGAAAAGAAACCGGTTCTAGAAACTTCTAAAATATCAAATGTTTTTAGTTTTAGTTTTAGTTGCTGGTTCTAAATAGGTTGTGTAGCGTTTAGGTTTATGAAAATCATCTGTATACAACGGAAAAGTAAGAATGAAAAGTAAGAATAGTTTGTAAGCGATTTTTTTACTTTTGGTGTCTGCTCCAAGGATTTCATAAGGTTTCTTGTTAACTTTATATATTCCTCACCCACCTTCTAGGGCTCAGCTGTTCCATGCGCGCACACACTACTTCTGCGTCTCTAGATACAACCAGGTCAGGCAAGCAGAGGAATCAATAGCCAGCCTCCTGCGACAGCGCTCTCATATGACCGATGTGCGCGCGCACACTCGCTCACTCTCCCCCTCTGCCGGGCCATTTTGGCTCATTCATTCGCATTTTGCCTTACTAGTAGTACAGGGTGTCACTTCGATTGGGTTTCGCAATCTTTTATCGGTCAATCTCTGGGGAAACCACGTGACATCATCACCTTCTTCGTTGACTTTCACTTGTTAAACTATCTGTCTCGTCTTCTTCTCCCTCATCGATTTCGTATATATGTATTTTTTCTCATTTTAAATTTCTTCACTTTCCAGAAACTTCTAACCTTCTAACATCAAAAATGAAGTGGGCTTACAAGGAGGAGAACAACTTCGAGAAGCGTCGTGCCGAAGGAGACAAGATCCGCAGAAAGTACCCAGATCGTATTCCAGTCATCGTCGAGAAGGCACCAAAGTCAAGACTCCGTGACTTGGACAAGAAGAAGTACTTGGTCCCATCCGATCTCACCGTCGGACAGTTCTACTTCCTCATCCGCAAGCGCATCCAACTCCGCCCAGAAGACGCTCTCTTCTTCTTCGTCAACAATGTGATTCCACAAACCATGACGACAATGGGACAACTCTACCAGGTAAATTAGTGTGTCCTCGCTGTTACCCAATTAATTATTTTGTTGCAGGACCATCACGAGGAAGATCTCTTCCTCTACATCGCCTACAGCGACGAGAGCGTGTATGGAGGGGAGGTTGAGAAGAAGGATTAGACATTCATGTAACGACTCGAGGATGTGTATACTTGTACAATGAATCAATTCATACTTCTAACCGACTCAAATGCCGCCCCTTTAAAAATCTCTCCCCTTTCCCCCCTTCTTGTAAAAAACTTCTTCTAAAATCTGTATTTTCTCCCCTCCTTTACATTTTCTTTTTTCTCGTATGACGGTTTCAATCAGTGACTCTTGACTCTTTCTCTTTTCCTTGCTAACAAGAAGTCAACTTTTTTTCCCCTTCTCAGAAAATATTTTCAAAAAGCTATGTTTTCTCTCTCGTATTTTTATATTTTGTCGCTATAATACTTTACAATGTTTGGTGTATGAATAAAGACGATGGAAAAACATTGAAATCTTTGAATGATTGAAATCTTCCCATTCTATTGCTCATCGTCGTTTCCGTCCATAATATGGAATACTTCATAGTGTTATGAAATCGAATGGTTTTTTGCTGGCATCAGTGGCGTCACTTTTTCTCTTTTGTAAACAAAGTCTTCCTAATGAAAATATAGACAAAAATAGTGGTGTTTTTGAAAACGGGGTGATCGCTCAACCTTGCTGTGGTCCAATCATAAAATCGATTCTGAAAAAAACTTTCGGAATATCATCTCAAAAATAATTCCGCTCGAGACCCGGGAACAAACTTTTTGTGTGTTCCTTTGATGTTATAGCGTAGGGCCGTAGGCCGAAAATCTCTAACTCCGAAAAAATTCGATAATTTTTATTCCGAAAAAAACGTCGGAATTGGATTCCAATAATAATAATCGAAGTTTCCGAATTCCGTTCCGAACATCCCTGATCCTAGTTTAATAACTTTATTAAGGGCAACCCAACCAGAGTATATTTTCTTCACTATGCCCACAGAATTGCAGCCTAAAGTAGTAATCCAAAAAAAACCCGAAAATACTTATTTTGCTGTCTCGGCGCATGAAACCCTTCTCCTTCTCTCATGTCTGATCTGTGGTCCCCAACGAAAGCTGCTCAAACTTCTCGTCTCCGAATTTTCGATGTCAACAACAAAAGTATCGCTACCATATAATTACGCTTTCTCTCTTTTTCTCTGCTTCCCGTGGTTGTTGTGGCTCGGTTGCCATGCGATACATAGCTGAAGGCTTCAGTCACTGAAGTTTTATTTGGCGCTTCGGCAATTTCGTTTCTCTTCTCTCTTCTTTTTCGCTTTCTCCAATTGCTGCCTTTACTTTTTCCACCATCTTCTTCTGAACCCGTTTTCCAGCGAGTTTGTTTCTCAACGATGCTATTTTTATATTTTGAACACATTGAAACAAATTAAACGTGACCAGTATCAAAAGGCAGCAATTGCCTTCTTCTGACCTGACAGCAAGCTTGTCGCGACAACTGTACTGTTTGAATCACTTATCATTGATATTCCGTAATGGGAGGGAACACATCGACAGCTTCTAAATCTTCAGAGAACCAAAAGAAAGGTATTGGAAACCACGAGTTATGAAACATTGACCTATGAAGAGCTATAGTCATTTAAAATTGACAAGTTTCTCTGCCGACACACAAACAAACAAGAGTGACTCCTCTCTTATCTATTCCAGTCAGCGCGATGAAACTATAGTTTTATATCATCGATTTCCTCTCGAAATGTCAAACTTGACATTCAAAAACATTTTTTTCCAATAGACGCACTCTTTCCGAATGTCTTTCGTCTTTTCAACCAAACCACTCTTTGAACAGGCGAGAGCAAAATTTCTCTGAGTTTTTTTAATCACTGTTCGCTGGTGTCCCGTTGTTGTTTATTTTCACATCAATTATCAAACACTTTTTCGGCAATAAATTTTTCTCGCTGTTTTGATTTTCCTTCCCATACCTTTTGCTATCGATTAGACAGTTACTAGTTTTCCTCTTCCATATAAGACGAAGTAGTAAACAACATACTATCACCCATGGCTTTCCAAAACGAGATGACTTTATAAGTTAAAATTTCTTTGAAAACTTTGCCCGTCGTCCCATTTTTGTAGAAACTCTCCGATCATTTAACGCTATTTTTGTTTTCCTTCTCTCCAGCCAACAACTCTCTCTCTCTCCCGACTGCTGTCGTTTTGTCAACAGAAAAAACGCTATTTTCATTCTTTCTCTTCTCAGTTCTCACAAAAAAAAACCAAAAATTGAAAAGAAAACATTTCTATATCGAATTTTGGTTTATATGAAAATCAGTATCAATCGAATAGAATGAGGAAAATTTCTACTTTCTTTTCTCTGAGCAACAGAAAGACAATAGCATGTGTTTCATATCGTCATTTCGTAATAGACAATGGCTCATCCAGTCTCTTTCCTCAGTTGATCTCTCTAACTTTCCGATATAAAAGGCTTATGGTCTACTATCATTTCATCAAACTTCCTATTTTTTTCCTCGCCAATCTACTATTCTCAACCTTCCAACAAAACTACTTTTTTCAGGGAGTAAGATGACTCTTCTCGCCGGTGTCCAACTCGAAAAGTTCGACAAGTCCAAGGTCGACGCTTCTGAAGCTCTCGCTGGAAAGATTGTCGGATTCTACTTCTCGGCTCACTGGTGCCCACCATGCCGTGCATTCACCCCAATCCTCAAGGACTTTTACGGAGAGGTTGACGATGATCTCGAGATTGTCTTCGTCTCGCTCGACAGAAGTGAGAGTGATCTCAAAAGCTACATGAAAGAGTGCCACGGAGATTGGTACCATATCCCATATGGATCGGATACCATCAAGTAAGACACTCTAATTTAAAAAACAGAATAAAATTTTTCGTTTCAGGGAGCTCTCCACCAAGTATGGCGTCTCTGGAATTCCAGCTCTCATCATCGTCAAGCCAGACGGAACCACCATCACTCAAGACGGCCGCAACGACGTTCAAAACGGAAAGAGCCCAAAGGCCACCATTGCCAAATGGAAGAGTGCTTAAATATACTACTCGATTTTTCATTCCAGCATATTCGTCTTTTTTTTTTTGAGCCATTCCATTTTAATTTTTCTATGCAGTACTCTTTCTGTAAATAATCCCTTCTTCTTTTTTTGTCTCTATGGAAATTGGCAGTAAACAACAATAAATTTATTTATTAATTGAAACCATCGTATTGTCTTCAAGAAATTTTTAATACAGGGAAAATAGATGAGAACAATTTTTCGAGGCAACGGATAATGGTACTATGGTACCATTCCATATACATCAGGATACTGATACCATATTTCACGGATACTGGTCCCATATCACGGGTTCTGGAACCATAAATACTTCACGGATACTGGTACCATATTTTATAGATACTGGTGCCATATTTTACGGATGATTTTCCCATGTATTTGCACAGATACTGGTACCATATTTCAAGGATACTAGTAGCATATGTCACGGATACTAGAACCGAATTTCAAGGATACTGGTACCATATTTCGAGGATACTGGTACCATATATGTTTTATGGATACTGCTACCATAGTACAGGGATACAGGTACCATAGTTCAAGGATATATTTTAAGGATGCTGGAGTATTATGAGCTGATCCTTTTCAATTTACCAATTATTTTCATTGACCATCTGTATTCGTTCCATTCTTCTCTTTCTCTAGTAAAATTGGCAGTAAACAATAATAAATTTATTTTTTTTTTCATCCGATTGGTATAGTTTGTTTTTCGATTTGTCAATTTTTTGATTCGTCAATGCAGAGAGGAAGAAGATGATTTGTTAACAGTTATATAATGTTGCCCAAGGAACGAAAAATTCTTAATTTTTTTGGAAAAGAAAAATGGTTTTAATCAGCAGAAGTCGGCAGAAGTCTACACTACATCACATGACCCAATATACTGGTTCTAATACATTCTTATCCGGCTCTTTGTCGCCTTGACAACCCTTCGACGCTCTCTTCATCTCCATGCACTATTTCTCCTTTTTTTGGATTTTTGTTGCTCCATTCTTCTCCATTTGCGTCACCACCTGCCTTCTTCTTCTCGTTTCCGTTTGCTGTTTCACTTTTCTATTTCAGCTACTTACTTTTTTCATTTCGAATAAATGTAATATGAATTCTAAAACTAATAACATGTACGCGCGCAGCTGTGTACACTGAATCATTTTTTTTTCTCCAATCAGTCAGTTTTTTTCCGTCCGTCTTTTTTTTGAGTCGAAGTCGTTCTTGGCCCCGCCCACTTTCCAGCCCCTTCCTCCTCTTTTCTCAACCTCTTTTCATCGTGTCTCAAATACCTTCTTCCTCTTTTTCTATTCACATCTTATTTGTTTCTGACTCTCTGATATTGGCTATATAGAAATATATATGGATGACGTGGAAGAAATCGAAATGAGTAGTATGGTAGGTACAGGAAAAAGAACACAACAAAGAACAGAAAAACAAGTAGGTGGTGTTATCCGATTATGACGGTTGATATGTCTAAATGTTATCATCAACCGAATTGGTTAATTTTATTGATAAGAAAGAAAACAACATAGTTCTTTTTTCTGGAAAATTCAAGAAGAACTATTATTCTAGTACAAAAAATCAGAGATGTGGAAGAGAAATTCCGGTGCCCGCGGCCGAAGGTCCCAACTACAGTAACCTGAAAAAATTTTACTTTCAGAATTCATTTCCTCGATTTTCAGTCAATTTATTCATTGTCACACATTTTCTATTTTCCTACTTTTTTTAAAGGACAAATAACAGTAAAATCAACGAAAATGAAGATAATAAATCCGGAAAATTTAAATACTTTTAGGTTACTGCAGTTGTCGTTGTGGGGCCTTCGGCCACGGCCACTGGCCTTTCTCTTTCACTGATCCATTTTTTGTACCAGAATAAAATACAGTAAGGAAAAATAAAAGAGCCCCCTGTAATAGAAGGGCCCTTTTCGAAATATGCTGTCTGAAATTAAAAATTTCCGAACATTTTCAGAGAAAACACTTCCAAAATTACGAAAATTTCATACGAATTTGTTGAGAAAACCTTTTTTGATGAAAAACTTGCTCTTTTGGTGAAATCGATAGATTTTCACGAGTTTTGAACTAGAATTCTCTGAATGTTTCGCGGAAAATTTTCGGAAAAAACCGAAAAAAAATTATAAGGACCTCTCTAACGGAAGGGCCCTGCTGAGGTACCTTGGAACAATAGAAGGGCCGGCCCGTCGAATACAGGTACTATACCTGATGAATTCAGCGGACATCTTGGGAACTGAGGTACTACAGTACTTGATTTTTAACTTGCTGAAACTAATTTTATCATCTGAAACTTTTTTCAGAAAATTTTAATCTAAAAAAATGAATCACTCATAATATTTTTCAGTCCTGGAAGCTTCCATAAACATTCCAGGCATTCTACAAAAATGACTCACATTTTCAATGTTTCCTTATTTCTCAACCGTCCCCCTTCTCTCAATTCCAATTTACTACTACCTCAAATTTTGCCTCTTTCTGTCAGTTCACCTGTATTTTCTTCTGACCTCAATCACGGCGTCAAGGATCTTTTAGATGTGTCTGCGTCTCTGAATCTCTCCCTCCATCCTTCTTCTTCTCGCTTTCTCCGAAGAAATGGTCTCCCGGACAGTTCATGCAAATACGAAACTACTAACCCCGATGTCATGCATAAGTGTAGAGTGATCATGAAAATCGCAGAGACTCAGATTTATTTCCAACCGGCCGCGCCCCCTTTATTTTCGTTCTTTCTCTATTTTTGCTCCGACTTGTTTTTTCGATTTTCGTTGTGTTTTCAGTACTGTTTAACTCTGTTTTCCTCTATTTTCTTTCTTCTCCTTTCTCTCTTCTTCGGCTTTATCTGAGTTTCCATTTCCCATTCTTCGTGTCGTTCGCTTTCTATTCAGCTTCATTCCTACTTTATTAGTTCAAAATCTTTCCTTATCAGTGACGCATCACTGAATCAGCTGGTATCTCGAATTCCCTGATTACGAGTTCAAGAGTTCTTATGAACTTCTATTACGAGGCCTTTATAAGTTTCGATTCTGTTGAAATAATGAGTCATTTCAGTCAATGAAACCATTTGTTTTCTTTTTGCTAGCTCTAACTTTGATGTTGATCAATTTCATGAATTTTCGAAACTTCGTGAGTTCTGTTTATCTTTTTAAATTCTCTTTAGTCACCTGAGTTGGTCAAAGAGCCCAACTTATAATTCTATTTTCCCAGAATTTCAAAATGTTCTTTCAAGCACAGTTCTGTTTTGCAAATCTGAACTTTTCTGGTGTTTTCATGCGATCAAAGTTCTTATGCTTGGACTTTGGGCAAAAATCATCAAAAATACTTGTGATTAGGCCTGAATAATAAAAAATAGATTTTTCCACAGAACTGTTCAAAATTAGTACACCGTAAAATCTGTAATAGAACTAACCCTAGCTTTTAACTTTGACCTAATTTATCTCGGTTCCTCTCAAAGATATGAGAAAGTTGTCAACTGACAAAATGTTTATCATAATATCACAAACATTTTATTAGTTAAAAAATTTTTTGAGATCTTTTATAGGAACCAAGATAATTGAGCTCAAACGTGACAGTGTGCGTGCCCTTCTATGACAGGTTATGCTGTGAATGGTCCGTTTAGTGAAAAGACAAAGGGAATACTTGTTACATTTTATATCTCTTTTTTATTTTCACTGAGAAGTTTGGAATTTCAGAAGAATTTTTCATTTCCAGCAGGAATTCTTAATATACCGTAAAACCTGTATTAGAAGGGTCCCAAATTGCCAACTTCGAGCCAATTTATCTCGGTTCCCGCGAAAGATATCGAAAAGTAGTCGACTGACAAAATATTTGTGGTATTATAACAAACATCTTGTCGGTTGACCATTTTTGATATATTTCCCAAGAACTGAGATAAATTGGCTCAAAGTTGAAAGTTAGAGGGCCCTTCTGTTACAGGTTTATGCGTTGATGCTTTTCTAGTCCTTAATTTTGTATACATCAATCAATAAGAATGAACCAGAAAATCAAACCATCGCTCCGTAATCATAGGGATCTCTTTTCCGGGAGGTCTGAAATTTAACTTATCACCTTATCACAAAAGTAAAACCATGTTTCTTTCCTTCTGGAGAGTTTCGAATTCCGCCTTGAATAAACACGACGGTCATTTCTTTTTCATCGTACCTGTGTCTTTTGTTACCATTTTTCTCTATTCCCTCTTTTGTACATGCACATTTTCTTCTTCTTTGTAATACACCGATTCTCTTCTTCTTCTTCATACAAACAAATATAATTTCTTCTTCTTCTTTCGCTTCCTCAAAATGCGCTATTATGAACAGTATTCGAGTCGACAGGTAACCACAAAAAAGGGTAAACGTCACACGAGAAAGGAACGATCTTTTTGTTGTTATAATAGTCGGTGATGGTCGGCGATTTTTCAACATTCCCCCCCCCCCCCCCCCCCCCCCTCTCGCCGAAAATTTATAATCCGATCAACTTTTTATTGGCACCCCTCGCGGTCCTTCTGTTGATCTTATTCAATCGGCCCTGCCTTCTCACGTTCTAACTTCTTCTTTCAATTTTAGTTACCATTCTTATCCAACCAGTATATCTGTGTAGCTACAAAAACCACATTTTTCTCAAAAAAATACGAATCCTAAAATGTCATCTAACATCTCACATTTTCAGAGAATGCTACCCGACACAGACAGCCATGAAGACGTGACTGATCACCCGCAGTTCGCTTCAACGCGAAGTGGTACGTCTAGGTAAGAAAAGGAGAAATGTGTCGAAATGAAAAACAAGAAGGAGAAGAAGTATTTTCAGTTTACAATCTTCGCTTACAAAAAGAGCCAACTCAACCAGAAGAAGTTTGAAGGAATTGAGTGAAGGAGTACAGCAACGGTTTCAACCGATTACTCACGGAAGATCATTGCAAAGGATCACAGAGGATGAATCGGTGAGTCAGAAAACAATTTTGATAAAGAGAAGTTCAGAACCGGCAACGTAAGGTAGGGAAATAATTGAAAATTGCTGCAATATTCTGAAAAACGGTTTGGGAACTGACCGTATTTCCTCTAATAGAAGCTCATCCAAACCGTCAACTTTGAGCTCAAAAATTTGAGAGATAAATAATTTTCAACTCGGAGGTACTTATTGAAGTTTCCCTCGCTTGTTCCCGATTCTTTCGAAACTTTCCCAAAGGCCAAACAGGAAGTATAAATAGGAAAACATAATTATTTTGAAATAAATGAAAGCTGACATACAGCACAAAAAATGATTCTCGAAAATCCAAATATGCTCTATCCTATTCAGTACGTACTATCCGATTCCATATTAAGCTGTCCAAAACTTCCAAAGAACAGTTCAATTTGAACTTTTTCTATTTTTTTTCGCCTCCCTTCACATTTGTATGATTTCCATTTTCATCATCCACCGTGTGAATTTGCATACTCGTAGTCTTTCTCTAGCCGAGTGAGCCGGCCACCAAACACGAATCACATGCCACACGAAAATTAGTTGTTGTGTCCCCTTCCCCTGAAAAACCAACCCAGTAGAATTACATATTAACTCTGATCTACGGGAGTAGACTAGGCACATGATTCTTGTCAAATCTTGGAGTCCAATAAAAATTCTCATTTTCAGCCTTCCACACCCACTGCTCCACCACGTCCCAATCGACAAATATATCGCAACTCAATAGATCAATCAAGTATGAGTGGCGAAAGAGTTCTGAAGCATCACGCGTCAGAAGAGGTGGTATCAGAAGGACAGAGATCTAATTGGAGTCAATCTGTGGAGAGAATAGAGAATGCTCTTCATAGGAATTACTACACTATTGCTTATTCTATTGTTATTGTGGCGGTAAGTTAGAAAGAATAAGGCTTCCATTAGGTCGGGAAATTCAGACGTCAGACAGCCGGCCGACAGCCGACCGATCAGTCTAGATAGGATTACTTCAAAATATTTATTTTTTCAGTATCTTGCCGGATTCACTGAATACTTATACTTTCGACTGACGTCTTTAATCGTTCCTGAACATCTTGTGTTTCATCCACCGTGTGAAGGAAAAGCGACACGGAAAATCGGAAAAGATGGATTTCATTACGGAGTCTCCATCTGCGCATTCATCGGAATCGCCATATTCCAGCTTATGTGCTTTTTTGGATTGACTATTTCTGAAAAATGGACTCAATCTAAAGAGAATCCGCGAGAAAGTCGGCAAGCAGCTCAACGGGAAGAGTTCGCTTTTTTTGTCAGAACAATGATTTCCTCTACAATGTATCGAGTCTTTTGTGAGTTTTGTAAACTTCTAGAAATTTGTGCAGAAAACCAAATACACCAAAAAAAAGCCCGTATTCGAAACTGTAATTAAGCAAATTTAGATAAAAATTCTGAGATGAAGGCTAAACATGGTTCCCTTGTCAGAAAAAGTTTTTTTTAGAAATTTGCAATGAATTTGTTTTTTAGTGTGTTATGGAATTTGCTCTCTGATCAACTGTGCCATTATTTTCTACATGGTTGGCATTCAAGATTCACTCGGTGACGTCGTTAGCACTATATTTCTTTACGTCTTCGATGCAGTTGTGATTCTTTATTTCATTGCTTTCCCGTTAACTACAGTAATCTATCATCCCTATGTAAATTGTTTCAATCAGAGGTGTGTTTTTCTATTTCAGTATTCAATTATGTTTCTAATTTTCAGAAGAGGAACTCCTGCTCGTTTTACAATCCCAGATACTGGATCAAGAACTCAAACATCTACACTAGAGAGTAATATCAGTGGTTTGGAAGAAGCCATGGCGAAACCAGAGCCTCCTGTCCATCGTAGCAGTCCACCAGCAATCCCATCTCTCAACTTTTCTCGGCATGATCCTCGCCGTCAAGGACATCGATCAACTGGATCTATATCAACAGATATCCCAGTTTTAGAAGAATATCTCCACTCACCACGTCGTCAACTTCCGAAGCCAACACTTGCCGTAGAAGAGAATCTGGAAGATGAACGTATCACAACCTTTGTTTAAATCGGTTCCGGAATGTGCAATTCATATTTTTTTCCGAGTGATCTCAATTTGGCCATATCGGTCGGAAAGTTTTAATTTTGTCAATCATTTTCGGGTTTTTTGTTTTGATTTTGCTACATATTTTTTGAAATCTCCCTGTCGTTTTGGTAGTTCAATAAATCAGTTATTTTGTAAAATGTTACATTTTAGCAGATTGCGAATTTTCTGATAGAAAATACAGTTCATAATCATAATCAACTAGAGATGTCCGGAATGGCTTTTCTTGAGTAAAGGAATCCGGAATAAGATCTTTCTCTCGGAATCCGGAATCCGTAATCCGGACAAATAAAAGCAAGTTAAAGGTGGGGGGCAGGATATTTTTCGTAGTTTTTTTGTAGCTAGAGTATGCATTCTACCGTCACGGTGTACAACGCTTAATGTCACTCTGCGTACAGCTGTCGTCCTCGCCTTTATGTATGCAATCGGGCGTGCGCTTTCTCTTTGCCCGCGTGGCTCAGTCGGTAGCGGCGCCGCACCCTCAATCATCGCCCTCACAAGTTCAACTCCTCGAGGGGCATCTTTGAACGGAATTTCGAGAACATTATTTTTTTCATGTCCCCCCAGCTTTAAGATGCTGGTTGAAAGTTCAGAATAAACCAATTTTCTGAAACCACGGAATGTAGATTCCGGAATCCGGACATCTTTGCTATCAACAAAAAGTTTTTAAAAAACTGAAACCTCGAATAAGAGGTGGCAATCATTTTGGAAATCAAACTAGCTCATCAAAAATGTTCCATAATTGAAGTTAAGCAATCTCCGGACTCGTGAATTTTTTTTTCTTTTGTTTTCTTTCCATGCCGTGAAACATGTAATAGAAGGGTCATCACACTGTAAAGTTTGAGCTGAATTTTATCGGTTTCTACGAGAGATATCGAAAATCTGCTAACTCTTAAAGCACTTTTGATATTATGATGAGCAATTTATCAGTTGAAAACTTTTTCATATCTTTGACAGGAACCGAGATAAATTTGCTCAAAGTTGAAAGTTACGGGGTCCTTCTATTACAGGTTTTACGGTAATCACTAGAAGGTTAACATGAAACTTCTTGACTTCTCCGAATTTGACAAGAGTGAAATCGACTGATTGGAATTTTTTGATATTTCTGGAACACATTTCTGAAACTGTGCCCTGTGCGTCTCTCATCATTTCACCACACCCGGCTACGTTTCATTTTTTAATGATGCAAAGAACTCTGATTCTCAATTTAGTTTCATTCATACTTTTTTATCCAAAGAATTCTCTTGAAACTTTCCCTCTTTTCACCCCAAAAAAGCACGTTGTCCTTTCCCTTCTCTCTATTCATTAGGTGCTCTCTTTCCCTCTTCAATATCAACCTGCCAATTTGATAAGCTTCACCGCGTGCTCTAGGAGAAAAGAAGTAGCTGAAGGAGAGAAGAAATGGAGGAATGAGAGAGAGATTGGAAAATAGAAATCTCTATGACAACTGGGTTGAGTCAGTTCAAAAACATTGCAAATGGAAGAGAATGGGGATTACTGTTTTTTAAATTCTCTTTTTCTCTCATACTAGCGTTCGAAATGTAGAGACCCTGACCAGATGAACATCAATGCTTGACCTTTTTCCGGGTCTTCCGTAAACTATCTCTCCCTATTTCTCTTCATATTCTACAGTCCATCGATCATCCCCACGTTTGAAATAGTTTTGAATAGAAATGACGAGGGATGTAGTTGACATAATGCATGAAGAAATCGTGTTTCGTTTTTTTGCCAATCTTACGAAAGTGTGCTCTACGCTTCCCTGATATTCGTCGAGTTCATACTGCTCTCTGATAACAACTCAACTCAAGGACGTCTCATTTTTCTCCTTTTTTCTGACGGCAGCGCCCAGGTGGAATCGCTGATTATATACTCGTGATTCGCAGCTGTTCGCTTAAAACCAAGTTAGGATTGATAGAAAATTTTTGGTTAGAAGTTGAGTTATGATAGAAGATAAGTTCTTACAGAGTTTTTGAGAGTTACTGTAGGTATCCAAAGGCATGGAGACTGACCTAAAAGTAAGGTTCAGAATGTTTTTTTTTGTTTCTGGGACACATAACTTTTGGTATAATTCTTTGAACGGAACGTTTCTATTTGGAAATTATCTTTGTTTTTGAATCTATCAGGTTTTCATGATAACCAGCGTAATCTGTTCTACAAAACTATTTTTCTATTCTCTTGTTTAACAACTTACCGTTAAAATGATAATAGATGGACCTACTAACTCTTAACTCTGGGCCAATTTAACTCGGTTACTGTTGAAGATTTAAAAAAAAATTGTCAATTGATTTGTTTATCATAATATCAAACTTCTTTGTCAGTTTACACATTTTTGATATCTTTAATAGAAATCGAGACAATTGACCTCAAACTTTACAGTGAAAGGGTTCTTGATTTACAGGTTTCACGGTACTATTCAATTTCTCTTCTCCCGCTCCCTAGTCCTGAACAAAATACCGGAGCTAATTGTGAATCTCGTCATTCAGCTACCGTTTTCCAACTTCTCGCTCATTGTGTTCCGTTTCCTCTTATCATCAGAAATCATTCACAGTCTCCCGTCTAATAACTGCAATGATATCATCAAGTTTTAAAAAGTCATTATCTATTTTCTCAAAGCACCCCTACAGTAATTGAAGATGGTTTCTTTTTTATGTGGCTTTCTCATATTTTTCCTCCAGCTATTTTGACTTTCAATCTGAACTTTCAAGTAGGTTTTCCAAGGGGTTCCTATAGTCCGCCGATAGTCCGAAAACGGTCCGTCAACGGCCCGTTCGTTCTCCTTCGACTGCCTACTAGCAGCTTTCAACTTTGAGCCTGTTTATCTCGATTCCTGTCAAAGATGTCAAAATATTATCAACTAATAAAATTTTACCGATATTATGATTAAAACTTTTTTGGTTAACCACTTTCTGATATATTTCATAGGAACCGAGATAATTAAGCTCAAACTCGACAATGTGGCGGTCTTCTATTACAGGTTTTACGGTGTTTCGAAAAAGACCCCTATCACATTGAAAAGTATATTTGATAAATAGCTTTTACTCCTTATCTCTAAAATTTTGTTATGTTTTCATTTTCTTGAATTTTCAGAATGGGGGAAGTCGAACGGCCTAGATCGTTATCCAGGATTACGGTGGATAGCGATGCAGAATACTTGGACGCTTATGATCATGTTACATAGTAGGCTTTCTTTTTTGAAATATTTAGATTTTAACCGTTTTCCTTTTTCAGCAGCAATTCTTTAGAACTTTTGGATACGATTGCTGAAACTCAAATCACACTGAATTTGTTCATGAACAATAAGTTTGAGCTGGCAGAAGAGAGAATGGCTGAATTGTGAGTATTCCAGTTAAAAGTTATATCTAAAAGTGGAGATTCAGATACGATAAGAGCATGTACCACTCAATGGGATATACTTGTATCCTATTCATAAAAGCAGTGATGACAGTCAATAAACAGGATATGGAGAAGGCAGCAGAAGCATGCAAGATGTCAGTGGAAGTAATTGAACGGTTTCGAGAGAGAAGGTCAATTAAAGAGACGATATTTGGAGCAACTGCAAAAGGAAAGAAGATGACAGATGAAGAATTACATGCGGAACTCTGTTACGCTCAAATGCTCCTAATTCGAGCAATGCTCACATTCTTTCATGATGATAACTTTGCTAGTTTCATCAAAGGAGCATTGAATATCAGAACTTGTTATCAGACATACAGATACTGTGAAAAGCTGATGAATGAGCCAAGCGTCTGGGCTGGAAGAAACAAGAAGGTTCAAGAACAGTTCGAAAGTGGAACTAGAATGGGTCTTGGCACATTCTCACTGATGCTTTCGGTCCTTCCATCGAAGGTGTTGAGACTACTGGAAGTTGTTGGTTTCTCAGGAGATAAAGTGGCTGGAATGAGAGATCTTCAGCATGTAGCATCTATGACTGGAACATTGTGTTCTCCACTTGCTAAGATGGTGTTGCTGACGTGGCACTTGATTGGTAAGGAATCAGAAAAATGCGGAGGGTATCGGTAAACGTCCACATTGCAGCAAGTTTTGTACTAGGAACCGGCCAACCAGATCTCGAGGTGTGCAAAAGAATAATGCCCGGTTTGTCTCATTTATGGCCAAGTGGAGCTATTATGCTCTTCATGAAAGCACGTCTTCTTTTGATTTCTGGAGACATTGAGACTGCGATTCATTATTTCAATATGTCAATTGAATCACAAGATGTTTATAAACAATTTCATCATGGATGCTATTGGGAGTTACTGTAAGTCTCTTACTTGAAAACTCTTTTTCAATTTACTTTGTTCAGATTCGCTCATGGTTACCAACGTCGATGGTCTCATGCGGCCAATTACGCTAGACTTTTGATGAAAGAATCGAAATGGAGTCGTTGCGTTTACACATATCTTCTCTGCATCTTTTTCGCAGCAGATGAAACTGTCGATGAGACGAAACGAATTGAAACGATCAACGCATTGGCTGGAAAGGTTGATGGTCTTCGACTGAGGATAGCTGGAAAATCGATTCCAGTTGAGAAATACTGCGGAAGAAAGGCGAAACGATTTGTGGCAACTAAATCCTTGCTTTTCGCTCACTATGAATTTATCTACTTTTGGAACGGATTTGACATCTTCGGAAAGAATCCAAAGTTGGTCCGAGGAGTTTTGGAAGATATGGATCGTGTCTGGCAGATGAAAAAGGATACTGTGGATGTTGATGATTACTGTCTGTACTACTTCTTGAAAGGTGTCTCCCTTCGTCACCTACAATTGTATGCTCAAGCAGAAGAGTGCTTCAAGGCGATTTTGGAAAGGTACGAAAATGGGGAAAAAATAAGAAAGGATTAGTTGGATTATCCCTCGCTGACTTCAACTGAATTCCACCAACTCCAAACACCTGCTATATTGATTTCTATTTCAGAGAAACTAGCATCAAGAGCTTCACATATCTGCCACCAAATGCCACATATGAATTAGCCATGCTACGCATCTCGGAGCAACAATCCATAGAGGCGCAGACGTTGCTGGACAAGGCTCGTGCATACAAATCATACTCTCTTGAGAACAAGTTACATTTCCGGATACACAGCGCAATGGGCACCATGGGTTGTCGAACGCCGATGATGTAGATAAATTTAGATGCTGTTTTTTGAATTTCCTGAATATTTTGAAAAAAACTTAATAATATTTGTATAAAGAACTGAATGCTTATCATTCCCGCTATATCAACCGTCCCACTGAAAATCAACATGTTTGTGAGAATCCGTCTTCTCGTGATGCGATATTTATAATAGAATTTCGCAGCGCGCTGCTCCGGCGCCCGCTGTTTCAGATCATTTTTCTAGCATTGCCTATATTTAATTGGAGGCGATTATCCCTTCTTGCATATTTTTCACATCGTCTTCTGCTCTCTTTCTTTCCACACATGTCACATGCGCCAGGAGAAGGTCGTCCCGTTTCTTCGCTCTTCCCAGCGCGCTGCAACGAGGTACTCTCTCCATCGCGCTGTGCACAGCCTCACCATAATCGCGTCAGCAAAAAATGAGAGGCACGCTACTAGAACCGCCCCTTCTCTCGCGGCAACAAACAAATGCCGAGAGACTCATGCGACCCGTCGTGAGGACGCGTTTTGCCTTCTGTTTTGCCTCGACGGCGTCAGAATTTGTCGATAAATTTGTTGTTGATTACTGTTCTGAACACAAGGAACATACTCAATAATGTTGTTTGGCGTTTCGAAGCGAAAGGATACTGTGCATTCGTGTACTCTTCGTGGACAACTGAATATCTTTCTCTTTTCTCAGAATATATGTTTTCTGATGACGTCTACATTTTAATTTCAGGAGGTGGCTTCTCAAAACGCGACAACAATGGCAACGCTCAACGAGATCGAGCTGAGCGAGGTAAAGGTTAATCATTTCCTGACATTAACCTTATTCTAAAACTTTGTTTTACAGATTGAAGAACTATCTCTGAACTTCAAAGAGACTCCTCGCCAAGATCATTCGATGACACCAGTTGAATTGTGCTACTTTGACGATTTCGCCACCACTCTTGTCGTAGACGCTGTGCTCAATTTCTCAACACACAAAATGTGCAAGAAGTATGGAAATTAAACAACGCATCCGAATCGATAATGTTTTCAGACGGCGATATCTATACGGAGATGAGCAGAGAGTAGCTCGAGAACTCATGGAGCGCTTCAGAAAAGATCAGGATTGGACTCCAGCGATATATGGGTTTTTGAACATGAGAAGTGTTCGTTCATTCATCGAAAAGTTAGCATTCAACAAACAGCTCGAGTTTCGTGATCATGTAATTGTTATAGTTTATTTGCATCTTCTCATCAATTATATTTTCCAGATCATACGATTCCTCAATGTCTTTCACCACGATTCAGGGTACACCATTCAAGAATGCACTCGTTATTCACTGGAAGGCAATCAGGGCGCGAAGCTCGTTGCGACACGTGCTTGGTATCGCGGCGACAAGATTCAACGACTCAGCGGCGTCGTTTGTCTACTTTCAACACAAGACGAAGATACTATACTCCAGCCAGAAGGCAGCGATTTCTCCGTGATGTACAGTAACAGAAAGCGCTGCTCAACTCTCTGGCTAGGGCCAGGAGCCTACATAAACCACGACTGCAGGCCAACTTGCGAATTCGTTTCACATGGAAGTACTGCTCACATAAGAGTGAGTGACTAGACCTTATGGCGTTCAACATTTTCATTTTTTCAGGTCCTCCGCGATATGGTTGCCGGCGATGAAATCACGTGTTTCTATGGGAGCGAGTTCTTCGGCCCGAAAAACATGGACTGTGAATGCCTCACTTGTGAGAAGACAAAGCGTGGAAAGTTCAGCACATCCGACGAGGAGGAGAACGACGAACCATCTGCACTGTCCGAGAAGCGTATAAAATATGGACTTCGTTCTAGATCCCGCGTTTAGACACCCAAAACCTATTTCAATCATCTATCATCTCTGCTTCTTTTCTGTTCAATAGAATATGTTTTGTTCTGTTTCATGGCCCGTGTAAATATGATAATATCGCTTCTGAAGGTTCCCTATTATCCTGATTCTATGTTGAGTTCCTCGCTCCCTCCCTAAATTTGTCTTTGTACAATATCCCAGTAAAAAACGCTATCAACAGTATATTAGAGATTGAAACTTCTAGCAACTTTCCCCCAAAGACTCTTTCTTCCATTTCCTTTGTTTGGTTCTTGTACGCATACAACGATCTCTCTGTGCTCTGTTTCGTTCGTTCTCTCTCTCTCTCTTTCAATCTTTAATCCAGTACCTTTTTTCATAACTTCGCATGAATAAATATATTCTTTTAAATAACAGTTTTATTCGTGACACCAATCATGTCGCATGGAAATCGTGTCGCGAGGTTGAGAGCAGAACTCAGTCTTGAAATCGATTGGATCTGGTTGGCAGTACTCGCAGGTTTATAAAGCTATAGTTCTCGTTCAAATAATCAAAAAGTGTTCATGATATGGCGCCGAATAGAGAGAGGTTTTACAGAAGAATTTCAAGCATTGAAACTTGAGATTAACATTTTTAGGATTGCTGAAGATGACCTCAACTTACCGTATTTCCATGGAGCACTCATGAATCAGGATGCAGATCAATTATTGGTCAATGAAGGAGACTTCATGGTGACGAGTAGAACGGTTGCTGAACTCAACAAACTCCAATTCCATCTTGCTGTTCGCTTGAAGAAAGGAATCCGCCGATACGAAATAAAACGGAATTCAACTTCCGCAAAACTCGGAACCCGGTCGGCTGGAAATATTGGAAAACTGATTGATTCGTTGAAAGCGGAAACAATCGAAATTAAAGGAGAAAAGGTGGCATTGAAACGAGCCATTGCAAAGGGAAAATTCCAATTGATGCATCGAGATGTCAACTTTAAAAAACAAATTGGTTCGGGTGCCTATGGAACGGTTTATAAGGGACGTTTGGCGAAGAATAACGCGGTGATTGCTGTCAAAAAGCTGGACACGGAAGGAACGGACGAAGAGGGATTGGCTGATATGATGAAGGAAGCAAGAGTTATGCAACTCTACGATCATCCGAATATTGTCAAGTTTTATGGATTTATTCTTGACGATTTTCCATATCTTCTGGTTCTTGAATTCTGTAATGGAGGTGCTGTTGAAGATCTTTTAAGAGAGAAACCAGATTTGAAGGTCAATCGTAGAGTTCAATATACCTACATGGCTTCTGCAGGAATGGACTACCTGCATAAGAAAAAGTGATAAACTTAGAGAATTTTAGGTTCTATATAATGTTTTTGCAGCTGTATCCATCGTGACATTGCCGCCAGAAACTGTCTCATTCATAATGGAGTCGTCAAAATGGCCGATTTCGGAATGTGTCGTGCCACCGCAGTCTACAAAGTGGATCTCTCGAAACCGCTCAACGTCCGTTGGCTGGCTCCAGAAGTTTGGAACAATGGAGAAACCCGTTTCAACACAGACGTCTATGCATTTGGAGTTATGATTTGGGAGTTCTTCATTACTCCGTACCAGTCACCGTACCATGAGTGGAAGGGGTACACAGTGAAGGTGAGCTGATAAGAAAGTGATAAGAATGCCAAGGAGAAAAGAGTTAACATTGTGGTTAGTTTTACAGCAAAAAGTGAGAGCTGGATACCGAATGCCACCTCCGGATGGGATGCCCAGAGAGATGATGATTGTGCTCAACGAGTGTTGGAACCATGACCCGAATAAGAGACCAACTGCAGAAAAGTTGAAAGAGAAGTTGGAGGAATTGAATCAGAAGTTTGAAGCAGGAGATGCGAGTGTCTTGCAGGGACCCGAGAAGAGTTCGGACCCACCGACCAATAACTGATACGCTGTACATAAAAAATGAGATCTCACTGAATTCTGAAATGAAACGGTCCTTTGAAAATTGTCTTATGAATCTATTTTGATAAATTGGGTGATCCTGGTCGTAATTGATTACTGTATATGTTTTTCATTTACCCACAGTACCACTCATCAATTTTTCGAATCTTCAATTGAAATAGGTAAACTCTAGGTACCGTAAAACCTGTAATGGAAGGACCTGTAATAGAAGGTGTCTAGTTTGAGCTCAATTATCTCAAATCCTATGCAAGATATCGAAAACATGTCAACTGAAAAAACACTTCTGATATTATGATGAGCAATTTATCAGTTGACAACTTTTTTATATCTTTGACAGTAACCGAGAAAAATAGGCTCAAAGTTGAAAGTTATGGGGGCCTTGCATTTCAGGTTTTCTGGCATGAGAAAATGTTCTTGGTCGATTGGCCAGATAATTCCTGTAAACGTAAAAAGTTTGGCAAAGACGAATACACATTGAGATTTTACGAATTTTCTATATTTTCGGGCCCTTTGCTTGATAACGATCCATTTGCTCGAGAGTTTTATGACAAAAATTTGGAACTATTAATTTAGAGCTTTCCCTTGGCGCACAACAATTTACACACCGTAAACTCTCTTATGGAACACCCCCCCCCCAAACCATCAACTTTGAGTCAATTTATCTCGGTTCCTGTGAAAGATATGAAAAAGTGGTCAACTGATAATATGTTAATTATGTCATCCAAAATAGTTTGTCAATTGATAATTTTCTGATATCTCTAACAGTAAACGATATATATTGGGCCAAAGTTTGCAGTTTGTATGTCCTCCTATTAGAGTTATTACGGTATCTTTACTATTATTGAACGGATTTTCGCAATTCTTCAGGAATTTGTATTACTTCCTAAAAGTTATATAATTATTTCTTCTTTTTTCAATCTATTTCCTAGTCCTGCTTTCTAGATACTACCCGTTTCATGTACCGGAAATTAGACTCCTCTCACAATTTTGATCATAACACAATGGACAATTCTACATTTTTTCCCTGCTCTTCTCTCACGTTCTCATTTCCCAAAGCCATTATTTTAAATTTTAATACCAAATTCAACCCTTGTTCCCAACCTTTCTCTCTCGTTTAAAGTTCACATCGTTATATTAATGAGCCTTTATCCATCCGCCGCACACCTGGTACCTCCCCCAACCACACCACTCAAATGTTTCATTCGGACAGGACGACTGCTCTCTTATTCTCCACCAATCGACCAATTCGTTATCGATGGCCCCGCCCACTTCTTTGATAGGAGAATTTCTGCGTCTCCTACACTAGAACACCATGAGCCCACCTACTTTTTGTGACACTATAAAAGGGTGACGTTGCATGGTCGAAAACACTATTCATTCGACTTTGTCCCGTGCTTTCTATCTGTGTCTTTCTTATTCTATTGCTACTGTCTATTAATATTCTAGAAACCTCTTGTTCTTGAGCTGGAAAGGTGACATAAAATCATGTCCAAGCACGCGATATTATGCACATTTTCTAGTCCAAGACTTGATTAATAATGGTTTCATTTTTGAATTATTACAGGTTTTTTGGTTATTGATTGCTTTTTGAGGGTGTAAAAAGGGGGTCCAGGTTCGTAAGTTCGCCACAGCTTTGTTAGAAAGAGCAAGAGAGAAATGTGGTTCCGGAAGCTACCATTCAGAATTATTTTTATTAAGTATAGCATTATATTCTTCTCATAATTCATTTGGTGAGAAATAAATAACCTGAAATGATGTTTCTGGACGTTTTCTGGGCACTCTCGATTCCAATAAAGAACCTGGTTAGAATAAAACTACAGTAATACTTACGGTATTTCCTCTAACATAAGCCCACCCAGGCCGTCAACTTTGAGCTCAATTATCTGGATTCCTGGGAGAGATAGCCAAATGTTGTCAACTAATAAATTATTTAGCATGATATCACCAATACTTTGACGACAGTTGACAAAATTTTGATGTCTTTCACAGGAGCCGAGATAATACCCTTATTCTTATAATAATTTTTTTAGTTCTCCGATTGCATTGTTTTAGTCATTGGAATAGACACGGCGCCTGTACAATCTTATCAACTACATATTCTAAACTTATATTTGCCTTCAAACGTGTTGGTTGTGTGGTGCAAACCAATCCAGATAGATTCAAATGGATGGAAGAGAAGGAGAGAGATAGTGAACTGATAATTCTGTTTGCTCCTGCCTTCTCTTCTTCTTTCCCAGCTCACAAAAGAAAGTAATTGTTCTTATCAAAAGGTATTTGACAAGGAAACGCAGTGATGATGGACATGATTGTCATCTAATTATCAGAAGAAAATGTATACTTTGCAAGTTAGGGGACACTCGTTTATTACAGAATTTTCACAAAGAGACAATTGCGGCGTTCGGAAAAAAGGAGATCATAAAATACAGATACTCGGGAGAAAAAAAAGTGACAAGTATTTTAACATGCATATCTGTTAGTGGCTGATTCCACGAGACAGCTATCTTGCTGTTGGAACATTTCTTTTCCTTGTTGTTGCTTCTGAAATCTCAAAAATATTATTTCAAAGGCTCATTCTTGTCATAGTTTCTTTTAGAATCAATATTTTGGGATCAACTAAATTACATAGATATGATAGAACTCAACGAGTACTACAAAATAATATTATGTGGAAAAATGTATCTTGTCTACGAACAAAGTTGCAGACGAAACGGGCCGAACAAACAGTAAGGGTTCAGCCCGGCACGGATAAGCCACTTTATGGCTCATAACTTTGTTCATAGGCAAGATGTTTTCCAAATAGTATCATTTTGTAGTAATCGTCAAGTTTTATCATATCTATTTTAGTTGGTCTGAGAATATTGATTTTGATAGAAACTAGCGCAGGGCCCGCGAAGGGCCCTGTTCACAAATATATCTCAAATTTTCTACCTGTCTATCAGTCATTTCAATGAGCTTGGTGGTCTCTTTTTTCAGCTTCAAAGCTGTATGTCTGAAGTGAGGCATTGCATGCCAACTATCCTCCATCAGTTTGCTCAGTTTATGAAGTACTGGAACCTTCTTCCACGCTAATTCCGGTGGCGGACGAACTTTCCGAACGTAAACTACTTCTCTCATGTCATCAAAACTTGGATCGTTGTGTACAATTCCATCGAATGGAGGCATGTATGGCTTGGCTTTCAGAGAGGCAGGGCTCTCAACTTTTTGCTTCTGATGGCGTTGTATTCTGGAGTAGTTGTCTGACGAACTTATTGACTCTCCAATTCCACTCGATGCACTGTGATCCGCAGCTGTCTCATCTAGAGCCGACACTTCTTCACAAGTATTCACCTGGAAAATATGATTAAAGTTATCGGTTTTCTCATTTATCGTAAACACTCAAACGGTTAACTTTGAGACAATTTATCTTGGTTCCTGTGAAAGATATCAAAAAGTGGTCCACTGACAAAATGTTTATTATAATACCACAAATATTTTGTCCGTTGACCACTTTTTGATATCTTTTACGAGAGGTGAAATAAATTAGACAAAATAAGTTTAAAGTGTATACGGTAAACGTACTTCAACTCGAATGACAATTTCCCACATAACAAGTGCCATCGAATAGATATCTGCCATTTTGAATTGTGAGAAATCTTGAGGATTCAAGGTGTTCGATAAAAGTTCTGGAGCCATGTAACGTTTCGTTCCAACTTGCACATTATACTTTTGGGGAATTATTTCGTTATTCTGGCTGAAAATTCAAAAATTGAAACTAGAAGAAATAAGAATGAAACGCACTATCTGAGAGCTAGACCAAGATCCGCAATACAGCAAACATTCGGTCTTTTCACAATAATATTCTTCGATTTGATATCTCTGTGTGCAATTTCAGGTTTTCTGAAACTTCCAGTTCCTTGCACTGAAGCATGCAGATGTTCGATTCCACATAGACAGCTGTGAATCAGTCGAAGCGCTTCTTCTGTGGTTAATGTTTCCTCACGACACAAATAATCAGAAAGGGACCCAAGTTCGTGGTAATCTGTGATCAGAAGCATCTTTGTCATAGAATCTTCTTCACTCCAGATGTCAGCAGCCACAAATTCTGAAACCTTCTAAATCAGTGAAACACGACACATATTCAAAAACTAACGTAGAATGTTCTCATGATTGATCATATTTGTCTGATACACATCTCGTTCATTCTTCCACGAATCCTCATCTGTTGTGTAGAACGTCTTCACTGCCACGTAGCTTCCACGATACAACGCTTTCCGTACTTCTCCATATCTTCCTTGTCCGATTGTTTGAATGATTGTCAAGTCTTGTCTTACGGTTCTTTGCAATAATGCAGCTTGTCCAGAGCCGCTTCTGAACTTTAAAAAACATTAGTTGAAATTCTAGAAAATGTATTATTTTACCCAGAATCTTCCATCATCGCTCTCTTCTCGTCCCAGTAGGAAGACTCAGTCGATAGAGAGACTGGTTTTTCCTTCGCTATAAATTTAATTGTATAACTCTATCTGTTTTTTTCTGAGTTACCAGATCTTGAACGACGACGATACGCCCACCAGACAACTCCAAATGCAATCATTCCAACTGCAATGATTATGAAAAACATCTCTATCCCATTTATGACATTATTGAATGAAGAATTGGTCTCGTTGTAGCTATTGTCTTCTTCTTGAAGAACTTTTTCTGAAATTTTAATTTTTTTTTAATTTTTAAATAAAAAAAACTTAAACTTAAATTTTTTTTAAACTTAAAATTAATGAACCTTTATGATGATGAACGTAAGGTGGGGGTACCAAATCTTTGTTACAAAAGTTTCCCTCGTAGCAACATCCGATGCTTTTGGGTGAATGATGAGCAGCTCTCCAGGAGTTGCACTAGAAAAGAAAATGATTTGAAATTTGGAAAAATCTCTTCAAAGAATTACCGTAAGATGAGAGGCTCCACTTCCCCTTTCCAATGTGGCACAACCCCATTTGTGTTGAGTTTCCATTCGTTTTTCATGTTTGTTGTACTTCTGCAATTACAAAAATTAAACAGGTTACCGTAAAACCTGTATTAGAAGGGCCCCTTTAGTAGAAAATTTTGTTTGAAGCTTTTCATTTTCGTACGTTTTTAGTGAAAATATACCAAAATTTTCACAAATTCTCAGAAACTTATTGAAACACACTTTTGTGCTAAAAAGTTTGCTCAATTTTGGTGAAATCAAACTATTTTCTTGAATTCGCGAAATTTTTGATATTTTTAAAGAAAAATAGCCGGAAAATAGAAGAGCCGTCCGAAAATGCCTCGGAACAATAGAAGGACTGGTCCTTCTAATACAGGTTTTACTGTAACTTACCTCTTCAACAGCATGATAGCAAGCGGCTCCATCCATTTTCACACACGTCATGTTCTTTCCGCAAATCGATTCATCATAATTGCAGTAGCAACGATTTTTGGGAATATCATTAGGCTTCTGTCGAATTGCCATCTCTTTCAAAACACGGCGTCTGAAAAATTGATAATTTTTAAAATTTGTGTCTCAAATCTTTTTTATCACCTGAATTCCTTTGGGACACCAACTGCATCTTTTGGAATGCTCAACGCTAAATCCTCATCGTCATACTGATCGTAATCAACCGCACAATGACTAAATCCAAAAACAAGAAGGAACAAGAAGACGATATTCATTATTCTGAGATTATTCGAAAAAATTGATTGAGAAATTGTTAATGAAGACAAAAAACAAGAAGAAGATAACGAGTAAAAGGTAGAAGTAGAGATAGAGAGACTGTTTGCCAAGCCGTTTCCTCCTCCGTCTCGTACTATATTGTGTGTGATACCTTCGTTTCTATCACTCTACTACCTCTCTTTTATCAGTGGACAGACTGATCGAAGGGATATTTTGAACTGGGGAGTATGACAAGTTGCGCCCACACTTGTAAAACGGGCACTGGCAGGTTTTCGTTGGCTCTGTTATATTTTCGTTTAAGATCTGTTTATTTAAACCAATCAAATTAGACATGATAGAACTTGACGAGGACTACACAATTTCGATATTTGGAAATTGTGTTCTATATTATAGGCTATATATGAACAAATTTATAAGCCATAAAGTGGCTGATCCTGGCCGGGCCGGGCCGGGTCTATCATATCTAATTTAGTTTTTCCAAAATATTGATTCTGGCAAAAAAGATGGCAAGGCTAGCAAAGTTCTATCGGATTACAAGTATGGTTGCGCCAAATTCAATCCATGACTTGTCAGAGAGACGAACTGTGAAGGGCGGCGCCTTTCTGTCGCGCCACCCCATAAAACCAAGGGGCCATTAAATGGCGTGGCGCCATTTTTCTGAGAAATTGAAGATAGATTGGATTGATGAATAGGGTGGTGTTGTTGTGGAGAAGAGGGCATACTACGCCAGGTGTTTCTTTTTAATATCTCATTGTTACTTTCTTTTGAAGTGAGTCGGTAGACGAACCGGAAGATGTTAATAGACACACTTAATTGAAGCTGGTTTTGGAAAAATGGAGAAGACACTAATTTTAAATGGAATTCAAAAAAAAGCATATACTGAAATTTTTGCTAAAAAATTGTTCAAAAAATTGTTTAGTAGGAGAGCAAAATAGAAAAGCACATACAATCCCCTTCTATTCAAAATGACAAGCAATAGTCTAGGCAAAATTGAAAAATATAATGTATTCGAAATTCAAATACTATTCTGGTACAAAAAAACGAACCTGTGGAAAAGAAACACCAGAAGTTCTGATTCCAGACTTTTTGAAATTCAGTATTGCATTATTTCAAAATTCCAGCATTTTCGAATTCCAGCATTTTCGAATTTCAGAATTTCAAAATTTTTGAAATTCAGTATTCAATTATTTCAAAATTCCAGTATTTTCGAATTCCAGCATTTTCGAATTCCAGCATTTTCGAATTTCAGAATTTCAAAATTTCAGAATTTCAGAATTTCAGAATTTCAGAATTTCAGAATTTCAGAATTCCAGAGTTTCAGATTTTTGTTAAATTTTAATCTCCAACCTCCAAAATCAGAAACCCACACTCTGGTATTCATATCAAAACGCCCCCTACTAGAAAAGGAAAAAAAACCGGATTCAATCAAAATTGGATTTGAAATGTTAGCCTTGGAGCAAAAGGGAAGAGGAAATGAAAAACCAGTGTACTCTGTTTTTGATGATCTTCGAAATCATAACTCTCTCTCCAATATCAAACGAAGTTCATTAGTACTCAATAAGGCAACATGTGACACATATACGGGAAAAAATAGAAAGTGTAAAAAGTGTAGTATTCCAAAAAGAAGAAGAAGGAGTTGACGTCCAATGAGGATCTCCTGGGCAACCCGAGAGGTAGTAAATGGACCACAAGGTTTGATTTTTCAGGCGTGAACTCTTCAAAAGATGCAAATTTTGGTTTTTAGGTCAGATTTGGGATACGTGGGAGAAGCAGCCAGGATAGGCATCAGTTTCAACTGGAGAAGATTTATCAATTATCGTGAGCAAAGCTGATAATAATTGAAATGAAACAAAACGAGAATGTTGAAACAACGACACCACCCGAAGAAGTAAACGGGAACGATGAGAAGAATTACGACGAAGTTGACCGATACCTGGAGCACATGTGCGCCTACAAAACGCCATACGTAATGCTCGACCGGACGGGTTTACGCATCTCGTTCTTTGGCTTACTGCCCATCACAACCGGAGAGGACGGAAACCAACGCATCTGGGGAGGAAGTATCCTTTTGAATAGTGGAGAGTTGGGTGAGTGTAGAGGAGATTCTGAGAAATTGTGGGCGGCCTGAATTGGTCTAGGTTTAGAATTTATTAGTTTCTTGATTTATGAGTTTTGATAATAATATTTGGTTCCAGAATACCCTCAAATCGACTTCAAACTTCGTGTCACCACCAAAAGAAATTTCGATCCACAGCTGTCTTGTAACCGTAGCAAAGGGGTCATCAAGCAGAAGGACACTTTTTTGTTATCGGTAAAAATTTAATAAAAACTCATATTTTCATTATTGTGCGGAATTTGTTTTTTCTGCAATTCTACAGTAATCCAGAGTGATTCAAAACCTCTGCACAAAAGTTACTTATTTAGAAGCATTTAGAATCGATGGTATTTTAATAGATCTGCAAAAACCTCGAAAAATTGAAATTTTAAGTTGATTTTCTAAAACATCTATCTCCTTATTGATTCCTTTTAAATTAACATAAAATAATATCTTTAGGTTACTGTAGTTTTCGTTGTGGGATCTTCAATGATTTTTTTCGTACCAGAAAAGTAGTGAATATTTCAGTACCAACTCCCGGAGTCTTCCATTAAATACATCAAACTAACACTCATTACTGATGGAACACCACACGAAGTGCCTCTTTGTAAATATCCGAAAGCAGATTATTTTTGGATTGGAAAAGACACAAAAGGTTCCGAAATCATAATTTCTTTTTACTTTTTTCTTTGTTCAGTTCCCGGTCCCGCCCAACTTCTGCAAGAAAGAAAACACAGTACGGGAACTGAAGCGACGACAATGAAAAATGTGTCTCCAGGACGAATCGAGAATATTCCAGACGGACTCAAAGATTTTATTTTTGGCGGAAATGGTTTGCAAATGTTGAGCAAGATGTTGTATCCACACGGCATCGCACTATTCCGTGATCTGTCTGAGGTGAAACTGGACAACTTTGATGTGAATGGGATGCTGATGGATGGAAATTCCACTGATGGTTTGTTTCATTCAACTCTTCATGAAGATCTTCAGAACAGATTTTATCATCTTTCAGCGATTGCCGAAGAGATTGTCCGCCGTTTTCACGACGCGAATCGCGAGAAATTTCCAACTGAACTTGCTTCTCTTCATTGAACTGAACTATGCCTCTGTATAAATGTTATTGAGGGAATTCTTTGTTTTTTTTCTATTGGAAATATCTTCAGAGCCGTCCACAAATATTATTTTTTTATATTTGAAAATCCGCGCAAAAGAGGGATCATTACAAGGGGCGCACTTGCTGACCTCCTTTTTGCGTTTTTTTTCAACCGGAAAATTATCGATTCTCTAAAAACAAAACTTTGAATGAACATAAATTCGTTCAATTTCTGTATTCGCTCTTTGCAAAATCTGTGTGAAATATAATTAAAATAATAATTCATGTTTTCAGTAATTGAAACCAAAGAAGACAAGCGACATGAATGGATTGTGTTGTTGTACACCATGCAAGCCAAGGTAAAGTTTACCGATTTTCGACACCAACTAATAACTCTTATTGCAGATATCGGAGATTGGTGGATTCAATATATCCACGGGCAGTTACCGATGGATTACTCCATTCCAATATGCAGAAGCTGACATTTTATGCTATTTCTCATCCGGAAAAACTTGAAAGAATTGGAGAATATCTAGTGATGAGAATGGTTCGGGATTTGAATCGACAGCGTCCTGTTCAAGTCAAGGTGAGAAAATCGATAAATAAAGTTAGAACTTTATCCGTCTTTCAGATAGCAGTTGAAGCGATGGATCAACTTCTTCAAGCATGTCACAGTTCGCCTAGTCTTCCGCAGTTCAGTGAGAATCATTTGAGAATGGTTCAACGACTGTTGGAGAGCAACAATGCAAAAATGGAGGTGGGAATTAGTAATTCATGCGTAGGAGGATAAAATTAATGTTGGTGGTTATTTCAGCAACTGGCCACTGACTCATTCGTCACATTTTCCAACATAGAAGAGAGTTCACCGTCCTATCACCGCCAGTACGACTTCTTTATTGACAAGTTCTCTCAAATGTGTCACGCCAATCCGCAAGCTGCATATGGAGAAGATTTCCGATTAGCGCGTTGTGCTGGGTTGAGAGGTCTCCGAGGAGTTGTGTGGAAATCAGTAACCGACGATCTTCATCCGAATATTTGGGAGCAGCAGCACATGGATAAAATCGTTCCTTCTATATTGTTCAATCTTCAAGAACCTGATGATAATGGTGGATTTTCTTCGTCTCACATTCCGAAATTTGATAATAACTTTACGGATTCGACACAATCTCACAGAGGAGACGATGAAGCTACACCGAAAGTGCTCTCGGATCGTTGTTTGAGAGAGTTGATGGGAAAAGCTTCATTTGGGTCCTTGAGAGCAGTTATCGAGCCAGTTCTGAAACATATGGATCTCCATAAACGTTGGTCGCCACCTCCATCATTTGCCATTCACGTATTCCGAGCAATTATCTACAGTATTCAAAGTCAAAACAGCTATTTTGTGATACAAGAGCTGATTAATCACTTGGACAGTATGTGTTCAGCTGATGCATCCACAAGAATTGGAATCGCTACAGTTCTCTCAAGCATTGTTTCGATTGCTGGAACATCTATCGGCCCACTTTTGCTCTCAATTTTCAATTCTCTTCTCAAACATCTTCGCACTTCTGTTGATTTTGAAAGAAGTGGAAAATGTAGTGATCAACCAGCTGAGAAGATGTATCAAGAAGCTTTAATAAATGCTATGGGAGACTTTGCAAACGCTCTTCCTGACTATCAAAAAGTTGAAATGATGATGTTCACAGTTGGAAATATTCCGAATCTTGATGAAAGAAAATCAAAGCAAGGAGAAGAATTCTTGCAACATGTCCTTGTCAAAACCCTTCTCAAAGTTGCCACCAAATACAGAACTGCCTATTTAGCCACAGTATTCACTGATTCATTCCTGGATACTCTTCTACGCCTTGCCTTGGTTCGTGATCCGCAAGTTCGATTGGCTACCCAACAGATTTTCCATACTCTCCTTGATAGGTAACTAAATAATTCATTATGCTTCTTAAAAAACTACTATCATTTTAGACACGACAATGCTGCGAATCTCGTTCATCTCGGATACGAGTTAGATGTTGCTGATGTACAGTTAACCGTCGAGAAATGCTCAAGAGCCGATCAAATGTTCATGAGAAAGCACATTGGCGATATCACCTATATGCTATGGAGAGCTGCTGCTGCTGCAGATGAAACTGATCTCAGCACGCACGCTGATGCAATTCTATGCACGATGAGCTTGTTGTGCATTGAAGTTGGATTCGAGAATCTTTGGTTGAGCTGTTCCGTCTGTCTATGGCACTTCAACAACTCGCTTTAGACACTAAACAGAACTTCAGCGATGCGAAACGAAACAGTATTCACAATATCGTTGCCAAGTATATGAATCTATCCGCCCAATTGATTGCCAATCCTTCCCTTTGCCAGCAAGTACAACATGTCGTTGGCTGTCGAGCCCAACGTGGAATTCCTGGTCTCAACCTTCTTCTCAGTGTCAAGGAATCCCCGATGAACGATGATCCACTGTCCTCTACCGCTGTGAACGGAACAATTCCGGAAGGCACGCCCAGGACGATAACCGAAGGTGATCATGCCCTGCTGTTCAATATCGAAGATGTAGCTGAGTCTCTGAAAGCTTCTGGAAAAGATGCATCACGTCTATTTGTGCCGTTCAATATGAGTTTGAACGGAAGAGATGGAAATGGAGACAGTTGGCAGAGGGAGGATGGACAGAACTTTGATTCGACGGATGGCAGAGAATCGCCTGATGGATACAAGACAGTTGGTATTGATGATGTTTCGGTTGATATGTCAGTTGATTGGACACCGCCGATTAGTAGAAAACAGAGCAGAAGAAATACGATATTCTCAATTGTCAATCCGCCAAGTAAGTTTTTATCATTCCCCCAGATTGCTATAGCTCCAGTTAGTTCCAGAACTCAACGCATCAACTGTCGATGATCTCAAAGCATATGCTAATGCTTCATTCGATCCAATCGAAGAAGATAGAAAAGAGAAAGAGCTCACTGGAAGTATCCTTTCCGAAATTCGGAATACCGACTTCGAAGAACGAGTCAATACTAATGAATCTCTGAATGAGAGAGGCGATTTGTCGAAATCCATCGCTCGTCTTTTGGTTCGAAATGGAGAAACAACAAAAGTTCGAGACATCGGAAGACCGACTAAGCCGAAAAATGTCTTTGAGATCGAGCTGCCATCTTTTGCATACTGATTTCGCCTTTTTTTTACCCTTTTAATTTATAAAACTAATATATTTTGAAGATGTATTATATATTTATTAATTTACTTCTAGTTTTCACCCTGTTTCAAAGAGAATTTAGGTAGCCGCATAAACAATTTATCTGCTTTAAAATTTTGTACATCATAATCCAATTCATTCGGCGAGTGGTACAGGTAATCTTACGACTTTTCGGACATTCTAAAAAGTTACGTGCACCGACCAAACTTCCTGCTCAACGTCCAATTTCCTTGAGCCAATTTTAGAGAGAAAAAGAATAGATCACAACACGAGGAATTTAGTTTTCTCTCTTCCAATTGTCCTCCCCAATCTCCCCCTCTTTTCCCAAACTTTTAGGTCGTCTCTAAATTTTCTCCACTGTTGTTGATGTCACGTCTTCAGAAGAAGATGGCTCCTTTGAAGATCACATCGACGTGATCATCTACTTTGTGATTGTCACTTTCTTTTTTAGTGGGTGGTCCCTCCTATCTAATGAGTTTACGAGATCACCTGATGTGGAGAAAAGAAAGTAAATCGACACTTTTTCTCGTGTCAACTGAAATTAGATGACGACGGATGCGTGTTGAAAACTTTTCTCTTTTTTTCTGAGAAAGCGGTAATCGTCTAGACGAAATCTAATTCATGGAAACTTGTTGCAAATGTTATTCATCTTAAAGTTAAACGCTTTAAAGGGGGACTCCGACCAGAAATTTTTATTGCATTAAAATGTGTTAAAATTTATCTATTTTTCAAATATTATTGCGAAAAATTCAAAGAAAATCCGAAATCCCCGAAAAACGGCGTTGAAAAGGAAGAAAATTCAAACAAAAGGTGCCGCCGGGGGACGAGGATTTTCAGTGAGAAAATAATATTCGGAAAATAGATAACTTTTAACACATTTTAATGTAATAAAAATTTTTGGTCGAAGTCCCCCTTTAAAGTGTTTTCTTAGGGAATGTTCGGAATTTTTCAGAATGTCGAAAATTCCGAGTTTCCAAACTTCGGGAACTACGTAATACTCTGATTTTGAAAATATCGGACTTAGGGAATTTCGGAATATTCGGATTGAAAATTTCAGAATGTCGAAATTTGAGAATCCAACATAAACGCGAAAAATTGGTGAAAAGTTGACAAACAGATATCGAAAAAGCAAAAAAAATCGGAGTAATTCCGCTCAAGACCCACAAGGAAACCTTTCGTGTGCACCTTTGACATACCGTAGTCCAAAAAGCTCTAATGGGGTTACCGTAAGACCTGTATTAGAATAACATCTTTAATAGAAGAGCCCCCGTAATAAAAAGGACCCTCGGCGAAGAAGGACTCCCTTCAGAATGTGTTTTGAAATCAAAAAATTTCCGTACGGTAGAAATTGAAAAAAACATTTTTTGCTCAAAAACTTGCTCAATTTTGGTGAAATCGATAGATTTTCATGAATTGTTGACAAATATTTGTCGAATTTTCGATAAAAAATGTTTGGGGAAAGAACGGCCGGAAAAATAGAAGGGACTCCTCTAATTGAAGGCCCCCTGTAATAGAAGGACCCTCCGGTACCTTGGAACCTTGGAAAAATGAAAGGGCCGGTCCTTCTAATTTATATTTAATACACGTTTCAAAATTCTTTTGAAAATTTGGCTGGAAATTCAAGAATATGATCAGAAAAAATCCCAAAAAATTTGATTCCAAAAAAAGGTTCGAAAATTTTCCTATCGAGATTTCATTTCGGATTTTTTTTGGAATTTTTTGAACTTTCCGATTTCCTAATTCCGAATTCCGCCCCGAACATCCCTGGAAGTTCCACATTGACCTATTTTTATCAAAACCCAAAGTCTCAAACCAAACTCCATTCCAAAGAACTCCAATCCTAAGAAACGTATCACCACTTAAGTTTCTATACAATCCGATCCTCTCGGTTCTCGTTATTCCATGGTTTTTTCTTCTTCTCAAAGTCAACAATTTGTTTCTTATTCTCTCCGTTCGTTTTGTTTCCTACCCATGTCTCCCCGATTCCATTGTTGTCCAATAAGTTTAGCTAGCTTGTGTTGCTTTTCAGAAGAATGCTGTAATTTTGAATTCAGCCACAGGATGCTCCATTTTCCTCCATCTCTTCTATTTTTCCTTCTTTTTACAGATGTTCTCTTCCAATTACAGATCACTCGCCGAGATATATGAATGTCGTCTTCTTCATCTCTGTTTTTCTTTTCTTTTTCTTTTTTATTTTTCATTTTCTCCGTTCTCCTTCAGTATCATTCACGCTAGAAGAAGGCAACCGTTAATTTAATCGTTTTGCTTCTTTGACCCATTTCCATTGTTATTGTCAAAGGAAAAAGCACAGAGAACGAATGCTTCGGCTTAAAACAACTTTTTTGGATTTGCACAAAATTAATTTTACAATTAGAAATATGTACACATGTTATCGAGTGGGAAAACTCAAAAATAATCATCTTTTGATTAGGCACATTATTTCGAGATAAAGGCCATAAACAATTTTTTTGGCTCTGGACTACGGTAGTTGTTGTTGTGCCTTAAGGAAATGATGTTGATTGTTATGAAGAATAAGTATGTAGAACTTCAAGTCCTAGTTCAACTTAATAATTTGTTCTAGTCCTTGAAGGTGGGGGAACATAACAATAATTTTATCGAAATTCTATAATAAGCCTCTGGAGGAGTTGAACTTGTGGGTCCATCGCTGAAGGTGACGTGCCGCTACCAGCTGAGCTACGGTCAATTGATGCGATATATAGTACTGGTCAATAAGATATACAAAAACCTTTTTCAGTGGATTTTTAGCTATTTTGATTATTTTCAGAGGTTTGGAGCTCGGTTGTCAAACTTCAAGTCATTTTGAAAACTCTGGATGGTGTGAAACAGACCAAGCATAACAACTTTGCATTCACAGAAATTTTTGAAAATTCCTAGTGCTTCAGCTATTCACCGATTTCTGAAAGATTTTCCCAATTCCAGTAAAAAACAGGAAAAGGGAGGTCCTTCAGAAATCGGCAAATACCATAACTAAAAAACTAGGAGTTTTCAAAAAGTTCTGGGAATGCAAAGTTTTCATTCTAGGTATGTTTTACACTCTATAAGGTTTTCAAAGTGTTTGGAAACCAGACAGTCGAGCTCTAGACTCTTGAAAATGGTCAAAATGGCTGAGAATCAACTGAAATGCGTTTTTGTATGTCTTATTGAGCAACGAGCTGTGTGAACACTGAACACTGTACACCGTTACGTCAGAATGCATGCTCAAACTCTAAAAAACTTCTAAAAAGTGTCCTGTCCACCTCCTTCAAGTCCTGGTTCAACTAAATCCTTCCTTCTAGTTCTTGAGCTAACTTAATTATGCTCTGTACCAACGAACGTTCAGAAATTAGTATTCCAAGAGTAAGAAGATGTTTCTCGAAGTGCTCGTACTTCTCATCAAACATCTTGACGGCAGCATCTGTCTTCTATCTAATAATTCGGTGGTATTTAAGTCTTAATTGGAGCATTCTTTGCTCATTTCTTCTCTCTCTTCCACACACAAGAAAAAGAGAAATACCCATTTGACTTCCAAATTTTTTTGTCTTCGCAATTCGAAAATTTCACGAAAAGAGTTTTTGGCCTATGTAAATGAGTTTTTTTCAAGATATCCGAGACAGAAGGAGAGGAAAATAGAAAGGATGTGTTGAATTTGAGACGTTTTTCTTTTCAAAAAGAGAAGACGTCTCATATTTTACTGTAAAGAAGGGACAGGAAAAACGAAAAAACAGGGAGGAGTTATGAAAAAAGTGCACAGCAGAATTGAGGTGTTGTCTGCAAGTCTGATGACTTTAGTTGTTGTGGAATTTTTCAGAAGCATGTGAAGAGACTACGGTAATTAATAAATTATTTCTTCTGATATTATTCTGGTACAAAAAAATTAGAGATGTACAAGAGAAACGTCGATGGTTGTGATGGTCCCACAGTGACAACTCCAGTAACCTGAGACTACCGTAAGACCTGTATTAGAAGGTCCGGCCCTTTTATTGTTCCGTGGTACCTCTGGAGGGCCCTTCTATTACAGGGGCCTTTCAATTATAAGGGACCCTTCTATTTTTCAAGCCATTTTTTCAAATTTTTTTAAATTGAAAAATTCGGTGAATACTCGTTCGAAATCCATGAAAATCTAACGACTTTACGGAAATTGAGCCAGTTTTTTTTTTGGAAAAAAGTGTTTCAACGAAAATTTTGTTTCAACGAAATTTTAGCCCTTCTAACACAGCTTTTTCTGTACTTATTTCTAAAGACGTACCCGTTTTTCTCAGTCCGAATAATTGTGCGCTACCCTGCAGAAAATTTACCTGGTCTCATAATTTAATATCTTTCAAAGTTATTTATTCTGTTCAAATTATCCACCCATTCCTCATTTTTTCCTGATTTATGAATGTTTTCAAATGAAACATAAACTTTCTGAGTAATCTTTAAAGAAAAATCCTGCCTGTACCATGTGCTGTCTTTTGGTGTTTCTCCGTGTGTTTTGTTTCCGGTCCCTTCTTCCTGTCGACACATGCCTCTCAATTTCCTTATTTACTCACCCGGAGAGCGGCTCCTCCCCATTTTTTCTTTTCGTCTTCCTCTAAAAATAAAATCATACATATTCTCAACTTTTTTTATTATTAGAGCAAAGATTGTGCAGCTGTAGTCGGAGTATGGACTTTATTAGAAACAACCAGAACAGGAAGTTTTTTTCTTTTCGAAAAGAAACCCAACACAACGTAATCTGGCTAGTCCTAATTGCCATTTAGGTACATATGAAAACCCAAATAACTTTCGACATGGGTGGGAGTTTCTGGAAAAAGTATAATCCAAGGAAGTGTGTGACGTCAATTGGAGCTCTCGAAGAACATCTGCAAAAGACACATATCATTTTCGGGGAGCCTTTCTTCTTTTCGTTTTTTACGAATTCGTTCCTTCTCTATCAGGAAGAATAGAGTGATGGACGGTGAATGGAGGGGTTCCGCATCAATTCGCTCCATTTC